TAAAGATATCTACAGCAAATGATAATGAAACAACTAAATATCCATATTTCCATATGAAAAAAACAACACTCATACCTTGCACCATTTGTATAAACACTAAATGTACAACTTACACACACAGGACCTCTAGAAAAAGCATAAGAAGTCTTTGTGAATTTAGGTTCAGCAATGAGTTCCTAGATAGCAAACAAAAACACCACTCACACAAAAGAAGAAAAATAAACCTTTACTCTTTTAAAAATTCTACTGAAAAATAGGGAAATCAGAAATGGGAGAAAACATTTGCTGTCCAGAATTTATAAAGAATCTTTAAAACTCAATGAGAAAAAAGAAATCCTACTTTAAAAGTAGGCACAGTGCACACTGGGAGAGGATTAAGATATGGTAAATCCACACTAGAATACTATTCAACCATTAGGAAAGATAAGATGTTGTCACGGATTGCAAAATGGAAGGAAGTTAAGGGAATCATGTGTTGGGAAGCAAGTCAGAATGAACTTTTATATATACAGCACATAATTCAACAAGGCAAAATGCTTATAAAATCCAGCAGACTCAAACATATAAAGTGGTATTTCTCAGGTCTGGAGGAATAGGGGAGGGAGAAAGGATTAAAAAAATAAACTTCTGAAAGACTTTATTGGAAATTAAGATTTTTGGTTCCTTAAGGGAAGCTGGACTCATCTAGCTAAACTCATCTAGCTAGACCACTGAGATGACCACCTCATGGTCAGACAGGAAGCAGTTTATAGCAAGTAGATATCAATGGAGAGAAGAAATGATAAACATGCAGGAAGAACTGTTACTCTGAGTTTGTCCCAAAAATATGTAATGAGAAGTATCAAGGGTGGTGGATACAGGACACATGGCATTCAGGAAGATCTATTCAGAGCCTACCTCAGGACTTTGCCCAGGGATGAGGAGAGACACTATTGCAATCTCTATGGACAGTATGAGGCAAGAGTGAACAGTGTTCCTTTTGGACACACCACAAAATTCCCTCTTGAAAATTAAGCACAGACAGGGAAAAGAAGGGCAATGATAAGAGAAACAATGATGACATTATTTGAATACTTGGAGCCAGCTGTTTTTCAAACTAATCCTGCACTTTTGAACTCTTAGTCAAGTAAGCTAATAAATCTTTTTGCATCAGAAAGACCGCAGGTCCAAAAGAAAAAAAAAAATGGGCAAGATTTGAAATCAAAGAAGACATTGTTGGCATATAATCATAAAAAGATGCTCTACATCCTTAGAAAATGAAAAATGCAAACTGAAATGGTAAGATACCACCACATACAATCAAAATGGCCAAAAGAAAACAAAACAACAAATAACAAAACTAAACAATACTAAATGTTATCAAGGACACAAAGTTTTGCTAGTCAGAATACAAAATGGCATCAAATAGTCTGAAAAGATTTTAACCAATAGAAAAGTACATGTGCCCACAAAAACGTGTATGTGAATGTTTCTAGAAGCTTTCTAACAGCGTAAGCCCATTATAATATAAATGTTCATCAGCTGATAAATGGGTAAAATAAATTGTGGTAGATTTACAGTGGAACACTACTCTCACTAATAAAGACCAAAGTGAATATACCTAACAATATGGGTGATTCTCAAAGTCAAGCTAAGTGAAAGGCAGACATAAAAGGCTACATACAATATGCTAACATTTACATGACAACTGAACAGCCAAGACTATAGCGATATTATCAATTTTTTATTTAAAACATATAATGGCAGAAGTTTAAAATATAATTACACACATGTGCACACACACACAAGGAGCACTTACTGTGATTAACCTCATAATATCCTGTGTGATGTAGATGTCTTATAGCCATTTTATATGAACATGAAGGTTCAGAGGGACTATACAAGTTATGCAAGGTGGCCCTCCCTGGTGGCGCAGCGGGTTAAAGCACAGCACTGAGAATCTGAAGCCACTTCCGCATGAGTTCGATCCCCGCCTGCCGCCTGCCCCGGAGGAGACCACGTGGCGAGCCAGACCTCTCCTGACCCGCCCGCTGCTCCCCTCAGCAGTGTACTTTGTTGATCTGCCTGTTCTGCTCCCCACTCTGTTCCTGGTGAATCCTATCACCTTCCGCATCTCTGGCCTGTACCCCAATTTTGTATGAATAAATAAATAAATCTTAAAAAAAAAAAAAGGAATACAACTTTCAAAGGTTAATGACTGAAAACATTCCTCCCTTGCTTACATATGGCCTTAGATGTAGGGTGTGTCTGATAAGGTTTCTTGCACTCGGAATTCTAGTATGACAGTATATTACACCTAGGTAATAATGTGGGAAAAGAACATAATAGTTCTGCCTCCTTTTTTCACAATTATGAGGATCATTCAGGTCATGGATCTGAAAAGTCCTTTGCAAATTGTAAAGCAATATGAAATTATTCTCAAACTATTATTATAATCTATATCAAGCTGCTCGGAGAAACAGAGAACCCTTTTTGTCCTCAAAACCTTTAAAAGGAGAAAAATATTACAATCTCCCTTTCATTAATGGAGATGAATATTTTATAACAATGTTTATATACAATACTTCAATGCTGACAACAAAACCCTGAAGACTCAAGAGCTGTATGCTTCATAATGAGTCTGTAGTCTAGTGGTGTACACAAACTTCTACTTCTGCAATAAAGACCAGACAAGGACAAACAAGAAAAAAAAATCAGTTCACACAGAACAATCTTTTAAGTTGCTGGTTAAGTTTCCTGGTAATTAGTACTTACATACAGGAATAATTTAAAGACCAGTTGCCTTTTGCTTTTCAATATATATTCACCATTTGGTTCCCATAAACCATCATTTTCCTATTTCCACATATTGTTAAAGGAGAATTAAAGCAGTTGACATAAAAATTAAGATAATAATAACCTTCTTTGACACTACTTATATGTTCTAGGATTTTTCTTAAAACAATCACTTGTATATTAAAATATATAGGGATAAGAAATGTAGTGAAGGTGTGTAATTACAATTTCTAATTCTGCAAGAGAAATGTCAGGGTCATGTTTGGTTACACTTATTTTTTCACTCAGTCTCTTGTACAACATCAAATAAAATTAATAATTACCTGTGTAAATAGTTATTACTTAATTCCTTTAATAATTTTATTTTGTGTGCAATAAAGTAATGCAATTAAATATCACTGTAAATAAAGTTAGGACTTAACTGTGAAGGTATTCAGAAAAGACCTCCCCAAGGTTTCAAAGGGATTGAGTTGAAGGCAATCAAGAACTTGCAGGTTCAAGACAAAACTGGCCTTTCTCTTAACTACCTAAAATAATTTAAATGAGGAGGAGGCGGCTTTTGCATAATGAGTTACTACCAGGAATAAATTTGTGTGACCTATCTGTATGCCTTGGCAAATATCTACTTACCAAGCATCTGCTCAACTTTTCTTGTTATCCTGTGACCTCTTCCAGACTGACCTCTCCAGGTCCCTATGTTATTCCTTGGCTCAAGATGGCATACAAAACTCACCCAAGCACCCACCTTTTTCTTTGCACCCCCTCTTGTCTGTCTCTATATGGATTCCCAGTAGGGGAGATATTATTAAATAGGCTCTAGGGCCCGGGACAATAGGTTACAAACCAAGCCCCCCTCCTCTTGACAGCTGGCAGGTGTGAGAGGCTTGAACTGATAGGAACTTGATAAGGTTGCCTTGGGAACAAAGCTGTCAGTCAGACCACCATGACCAGAAAAACTAACCCACTCCAGGAATGCAGAAGCTGAGGCCAGCACATGTTTCTGTGTCAAAGGCCAATGGCTGTGACCAGACATCCTAGCTAGCAGATAACGAGTGCAAACTGGTGCCCCAAGTTAGCCCAGGAACAGTGTGCGAGCATCAAATCCCCACTCTAGATGAGACATCTCTGGTCTCACTACTGCTACTCTTAGCAGTGGATTTCCATAAATCCACCTTTTCTGGCCTCCACTGTCTCTGGTGAATTCTTTCACCCAACCCCCTGCCCTATGCCTGCTTCTGGCCTCACCCAGTATTTCTCCCCACCACACTTTTCTCCTGCTAATCATCAGAAAGAAACTTCATGGGTAGAGGACGGCTTTTCCTTTCTTAAAATCCATCAAAGCTTCCAATTTCAACATCGAAAACGCTTAAAGGTTCTAACAAGCATGTGTTCCAACTTAAAATCTGTACTATTTCAGTAAAGTGTTCACTCAGGGTGACTAATTTTACTTCAGAACTGCTTTAATCTCTGAAAAAAAAAAATTGAACAACTTTATGTAACCTCCAGGCTGGGAAGTCTAATGACACCAGATTTTTTCTACAAACAGCTTCAATTCAGCGAACAGATTCCTTTAACAAGTGTGTCTTAATCGCCCTAAAAATAATCTGAAGCCACCAGTGGTATGTGATCGATCTCCCACTTTGAAATATATTTTTCTGCCTTGCTTCAGAAACGCTCAGTAATGAAAACTCAGATCACGAGGGTCGTTTTCCTTTACAAACAGGCGACAAGCGCCTCCCTTCAGCTCCACATATTTTAATTGGGGTATAGGTAATATTTCAAATTAAAACACGACTATGTCAAAGGAAGGGAGAGAATTATTTTTTGTCAAGTAAACGCCGCACTCAACTTCCGAATTTGCTCAGTCTCGGACGCAACTAGTAACTCTCAGAAAACCATTTGCAGAGTGTTTTGGCGGCTTATTAACCAATTCTTAAGCGTAAGGGCAAGTTCTAGACACAGCAGAACCAGGAAAACGACCATTGAGGAAAACTGTTACACAGAATAGGCACCTTCCTAGGCCGGACAACGGAATTCGCCTCTTTTCCGCCAGCTGGCGCGGGACGTCGCAACGCCCAAGCAAGGCCCTCCCGCTCCCAGAGCGCCTGCGCAATCTCCACCGAGTCAATTAAGCCCTTCCGCAAATGATTTTGAAATTATTGTCGGGTCATGCCTTCATTAAAAAGTCTTTAGGAACGACAAAGCACACTGGAACGACCACTCACCGAAGTGGTCCTAAAGGCAAGCGACAGGATTTTAGCTTCCTCTCGCGACTTATCTGGTGCTGCCGGAAACGGAACTACTCGAGACTAAAGTGCTCATGGGGCCTTGTGGAGCTTCCGTCGGGAAAAATTTCGGCGGATCGCTTGACTCTTGCCGGAAATCCTTCTGCCCGGTGTGGTTTGTGTGTGAGACCAAAGCAGGAGGGGAAGAGGCGTGACCCAAGATTCTTGCTATGTAGTAGTGCCTTGCAGTATCTCTATGTGGTCCTTCTGCTACACTGAGGACGGAAGCCTCAAGTCCATGCAGCAGCTGGAGTCATTCGACTAACACTTCACCCCTTCCCCAGGATTAAAAGGCAAATCGAAACCTAAATGGGTTTGGCTGTTCACAGCAACTCGCGTGACACTCGCAGCCGTGGCAGGTGAGGGCTCTGAGACCGCAGGAGAAACTGATAGACAGAACCTCGTCACCCGAATTGGCGACCACAGCTGGGCAGTTGCTTTGTCTCTGCTACACTCTACAGAGCCCAGGCACGGGCTCCCATAGGGGACATGTGCCAGAGTGAAGGGCTGCGTGGACATGGAGGAATGACAGTACAGTCCCAGGGTGCTTGCGCGTATTCGTTTCTCTCCCTCCGTCTCCACCGTTGCCTCTCTTTCATTTCTAGGGTTGGAAATAACAGAGATATTAGCTCAGCTAAAATAGACCTGGTACTTCAGACTGCGGTCTCGCCCCACTAAAGTGGGTCAGCCTCGAGTTTCGGGACTGCTGTGGACAGAGATGGCTATTTTCTTTTTCTTTCTTTTTTTTTTCATTTTCAGTTTTTCTCACTCTGCTGCTCTCTGCCTGCAGCCCCCCCCCGCACCCCTCCCCCCCTTCAATAGAACAAAAATCCCCATGCGTTGTGCAGCTTTCCAGAGTGAGGACGGAGGCTGCAGGTCTTTCGGCTGGAGAGTGTTGAACCTCGCACGCTTTTAAGGGAAGAGGTGGTGAGGTTGCTGACAATAGAATCTTATTCACTAAGTGCTCGTTGACTTCCTGGTTTGCGACCTTTGGAGTCCTGTTGGTAATACTCGGTTTAGCTTGTGGGAAGACTTGGCAGTGGAAGTAGGAAGCATGGCTGACTTTTTAGCACCTAGCATCCTTACTGTACACGTGGATAGACAGGGTTTTGTTTTTGTTATTGATAGTTCTTCGTTTAAATTTAAAGATTTTGTTTCAGGCTGGTAAAATAACGACAACGACCATTATAACTGAGTTCTTATTTGTTGTGCCAAATGGTCTGCATATTTTCTAATTTGCTCCTTTCAACAATTCCATGAGGCAAATCGGATTATTACTCTCCTTTTACAAAGGTAGAAAGAAAGACCCAGAGAGAGTACTTAGCTAGCCCTAGAAAACTTTTGTAAATAGTAAACGCTTGAACACGTGTTTGTTCACATTCCAGGATTTGTATTCTTGACAATTTTAACCGCTGTTGACTCACTGTTTATGGTTCATTGTTCTAGTTTCTTCTCTAGAATTTTCAGAGGCTGAAAACATTCATTGATTTAAAAAATATTTGGTGTACCTATTTCCGTGTCTGATGAAAGACAGATATAGGATCTATTTACATGGAGCTTCAGTATTGTGATGGAAATTTAGGGAGTTCAGAAACCAAAATATTATACTTAACTGTAGCACGGGTTTGTCTAAAGTGAGTTTACTGGTATGCAGAGGCTCGGGGTTGTACAATCAAAGCTTGCTGTTTAAATGCTAAACTCATATGACGTGCGGGATGGTTGTGCAACTACAGTAACAATTGATAGGACATTAATCGATTACTCAAATAAGTGTTACGCACCAATTAAGTACTGGAAATATCAAAATGAGTTCCTTGTTCTCCAAAAGTCCTCACAGAACTATATATAGGTAGTATTGTGGAACTATTTTTATTAAGTGAAGATGGTATTGTGGTTATGTAGGAAGGAAGTGGCTACTAAATTATTTCGATATTAAATGTCTTAACGGTGACAACAAATTTATATGTGTATACGTGTGTAAAGATATTAGTACTTGTTGAGTCTCACACTGAAATATGGGTGTTTATAGTGAACTGTTCTTTTAACATTTCTGAAAATCTAATTTTTTTCTTTATAAAATGTTGAGAAATAGGCTAGCACTAATGGAAACAGATCACTGTATAAGTAGATCCCCAAATGCTGTGGCTCATAGAGGTGCTAATGAGTTCCTGGGAGCTGGGCATAGGAGTGGTAGCTGTCAGGCAGGCATTTATTAAAGGCTTTCTGGTTGATTATTGCAGAAAAAAATAGAAACTTTCTAGAGTGTTCTAAAAGTAGCAGAAAAAGGAGGCTCAGCAAAAAGGTATTGTTGGAAGAAGGAAAAAAAAATCAATGTGAAGGTCTTTGGAACTTGGCATGCCTTTTTTTCCCCCCTTTGTATAAATGTTAGAAATGTTTAAAAGTCTCTTATGTAGCTGTAAGCAATAGTTGAGTAGAATGGAAGCACGATTTATAACAATGTTTCTATGAAAAATGGTCTAGAATTTCAGATTAATTGGTTAGCTCTCTGCAGATCTGGTGCTCCTGTTTCTACTGATTTGGGGAGCACAGGTTTACTAGTGAATAGCTGGTCTCTTTAGGGAACCTATTGGAAGGGCTGGAAAAGACTTTAAATTCAAGTTGGTGGTGGTTTCTGAATATTACCTGCGGCTAATGGATGATTCAGAGTGTTATGTGTTTAGACAGTTTTGTCAAGACTAGCAAAGGCATGCCTGTTAATCCCAGGCAGTGGTGTTAGGGTAGTCTCACAAGTGTAGTAAAACCCCTAGAGAAGAGTTCTCCAGCAGAAGCAGTGGTAAAGAGGAGTTTATATTATATAATTTCATTAGATTGGAGGTAAGTACGTACATTCTAAATTGAATTGTTTGTATTTGCCTTATAACAAACTAAATTTAGGTCAGAAATCTCTGCCTTAAATATAACAATAGCTAACAAGCTATATAATATAGTGCTAATATTTACTGAGTGCTTATGGACATGCTAATTATTTCTGTTTATGTTGTCATTTAATCATCTAAACAGTATGGAATTTATAACCCTACTTTACAGATGGCCAGGGAACTTCAATAACTTGTTTAAACACATAATTGGTAACTATCAGAATGCTTTCTAGCCCAATTTTATTGAAATCTAGATGGTTCTTAAAATGTAATTCAAAAACCAGCAGCATCAATATGATCTTGTAGAAAGTCAATGTGTTTATTCCCAGCCTCAGACATTTTTGTTTATTATTTTAATAAGCCCTCTATGTGATTCCATGGTGACACCACTAATAGCATACCACTAATTTCAACTTTAAAATTCTAGGATTAAGTAGAATTTCTCTTTTGGATAGTTTTAAAGTGATTTCTAATCCTGACTACACATACCCATTTGTTAAAAATCCACATTCGGACCTTCCTTGGTGGCACAGTGGGTTAAAACACAGCACTAAGAAGCTAAAGCCGCTTCTGTATGAGTTGGATCCCCTCCCCCGAGGTGATCCACATGGTGCGGCACACCTCTCCTGATCAGCCTGCTGCTCCCCTTAGCAGTGTACTTCGTTAGTTGGCTTGTTCTACTCCCCACTCTGTCTCTGGTGAATCCTCTCACCACTCCTCCACCTCTGGCCTGTACCCCAGCTCTGTATTCATAAGTAAATAAATCTTTAAAGAAAAAAAAAAAAAAGAAAAAAATCCACATTCTCCACTAGAATTGATGCTTCAGAAAACTGTGGCAAGTCTAATAAAGTGTAGTCCCTCAGATAATTCTGATATAATCCATTACTAATTTTTAAGTAATGTCCTATCTTTAAGACTAAACACTAGTTGGAATTCAAGACCAAAGTTTTATTTTGATCAAAATGCTAAGTAGTGTAGCAATACTAGATGCTTTAAATTATATTTAGTGTAGTTTTTAGGGTTTCAAGTGAACTAGCATACTATTATGAATGTCCTGGAACTTCTATAATGTCCATAGGGTTTCATCATGTACCACATTTGGAGGGGAGGAATAAAAATCAGATTCATTCCATAGTTTTAGTTTTCCAAGAATTTAATAAATACTTATAATGCTGTGATATATAGTACTGAGTTTGCTGTTTCGAGAACATGGTAGTCTACCTTGGTTTAAATAGACTTGGGTTTGAGTCCCATTTAAAACTTACTTGACTGTGTGATCACTTCAGATTACTGAGAATTTCTGCTTCAAGTCTGTTTTGTAGTAAAAATGATGGACTATATGTATGTACTTCAAATACTTGTAAAATAATTAAAATATCCCAAATCTGAGGGTTTCTGTCAGGATTATTGTTAAATCACAGAGTTGTAACTGTGCGCTTCCTAACATTTTTCATTTTACAAAACGCACAGAAAATTGTATTTGTACTGACGATAGAATGTTTCCAAGGGCAATTGGCAGGCCTTACAGGCTGAACCAACTAATTTTTGGCATACTACAGTTCATTATGATGTTGAGAGACTTTGTATTTACAAATTAAGTGTCTACTAGGTATAATGTTTAATAAAGGCCTATTCTCTTGTGGCTTATCATATTTTGGAGAGCTATTTAACTGAAGCAATTAAGTAATAAAGGTACCGGGTAACCAAAGGTCAAGATGAATGATAACAAAGAAATCTTGAATACTGTTAAGAAAAGTCTGTGGAGAAATATTCACTGGGTATTCGAGCTGTCCTAAGCACCAGGAGACAAAAATTCTGCTTTATCAGTTTTGTGTATTTTCTATCAGGTCTCCTGTAATAGTCTGTGTATAGTATACACAGAGTGATAGTTATAGTGATAGTTATATGTAGTGATATTTATATGCTTCCATTGTTCTACTTTGCTCCCAATCTCTCTCTTTCATTCTTATTTTTGAGCAGCACACTGCTTCTCAGATTTGTCTGCTTTTTTGAATTACCTGGGAAGTCATAAAATTACTTAGGCCCTACTCACCCACATTCTGATTTAATTGCTATGTAGTGTGGCCTGGACACTGGATTAGGAGGCTTTGTAACTTCATACTATGACTTGTGAGATGGCACAATTTATGGATGAGGACATTGAGGCCTTGGGATTTTAACTAACTTGCTCAGCTACTGAGTTAAGAGTCAGACCCAAGTAATTTTGGTTCCAGACCCATGCTCTTACCCACTAGTGTATTTAGTCCTTTTATGCCAAATGTTAAGTATCTCTTATATATTGAAAGGAAGTGACAAAGGAAAAAGTCTTCTTTTACTGTATGCTTTTGTAAGACCCAATTCTTTGGCCTAGCTTTGTAAAAACGTCCTTCAAGGGAGTTGTCAATATGTATGTCTTGTCCCTGAAGTGCAATCACATTTAATATTAAAGATCCTTACTAAGTCTTCTCAGTCTTCCATATGTATCTTAGCTAGTTTATTTAATTTTCTGCTTCTGTCTTTACTTGCTTGCTCTGCTCCAGCTACAGTGGCTTTCCTTACACTTCCTTGAACATGGAAATATGCAAAACAGGTATCTGCTTTTAGTCTTTTCTACTTTATTCCTGCCTGGAATGCTTTTATCATTAACCCCATGGCTAGTTTCCTCATGTATTTGGATTTTTGCTCAAATGTCACTTTATTAAAGAGGTCTTCATAACATAGATTTATTTGTTGATTTGTTTCTGTCCAAATGAATGAAACACGGTTTCAGACCTAAATTCATAATCAAATGTGAGATCTCTATCTATGTACTTCAAACAGCTTTGACACTGAAGCAGAATTCAACTAAGTGAAAAGAAGGGAATAGATCAGTTATTAACCAGTATTCTTAAAAATTATAGAGGATACATGCATTTTTTCAAAAGTAGTTTTCTGTTCACACATATTCATGTGTAAAGTACAAAAAATAAGAGGGAAAATACATAGTAGGAAATACAAACCCAATACTTATACACCTCATAACCACAACCAGTAAGTTTGCCACTAGGTCATGAGATTATTGATTTTTTAATTTTAATATTATGCATTCTATACTTTTCACCATAAACACTAAAATTATAAAATTTTTAAAATTAATTAATTAATTAATGTTAGGTTTAACAGTAAAACAGAATGACTGCTTTTGTTAGATGCCTGTTTCAGAAGAAAGTTTTTTTTAACAAAACCCTACTTTACACACACACACATATATATACATACACACACACATAAGCATACATATATATATTCATTGATATAATCTCTCATTTTTGCACTTTGAAATGAATATTGAGACATTTTATGCAATTGCATACATATTCTTTTAGTTTTGTTGGAGTGCTAATTACATTAGAACATATTTGATTGTTTCCCACCTATACTGTAAGCTTCAGGAAATGAACCATATTTACTTTGTATTGTCAGACCCTAAAACAGCACCTTCTGTAGTAGGTGAGTATTTATTAAGTAAATACATTAATTTCAATGAATGCTTAGTATATTTCAAGCACTTTTATTATCTCAATCTTCACAGTGCTACAGAGTATTAATGATATTTCCTTATTTACTTATAAAGGAACTGAGACCTAGAGAAACTAGCATCTGTTGCTTGTTATGTAATGATAAATTTAAAAATATATTTGACTACAAAACACATGCTTTTTTTTTTTTTTTTTTTTT